AGATTTGGCTGCATGAAGCTCTGCTTTCAAAGCACATAGAAAAGGCCAAAAGCACATCGGTGTTGACTTTGGCAAGGACTTGCTTTCTTTCTGCCAGAAGATTATGCTACAGCATAGGCACGCCAATCTAGACCCAAAATATATCTAAACTGTGGTGATTTTGCATGGAGGACAGTTCAGTTTCCCAAACAAGATTGAAGCTCGAAGTCATCATGCCATGCCATTTGTTCGGCAAATATGGAAAAGGCACTGGAAAATCATGGGCAAGCCGCTTCTAGGAAATACTTCGGAAACAATCATGCTTGCTCTGAAAAGCATTTAATAAAGCTAGTCTTGCCATGCTTGCTTAGTCAACAATGCCGGGCCAAAATGAGAGGGAGAAAAATCAACATCAATCAATGCAGAATATAAAAAGCATAGAGATGGGTTTATTTCAACTCTACTTAATTTAATAAACGAATTAAGTACCCATTAAAGAAATATAGCAACAAAGAGAAAGGATCCTCTGCTGTGTAAAACAGCAACAGAATGGTGCTGTTATATTACAACAATTCTAGTTAATCTACGTCGAATTTTGGACCATCAAGATATTACAAGTTAAAACTTCTAATTTTTCAATATATGCGTGTGCGTGCGCGCGTGCGCGTGTGTTTGTGATTTGAATTGTCCAAATCAAATCTAGATTAACCAACTTAGTTTCTATAGAAATAACATACAAGCCAGATCCAAAAATGTCAGGTATAGATAGCAAGAGGAAAATTAAGTTTCATACATGACAAGTTTAGGCATCACGTGTTGCATGAAATGTAAGAAATTAGTTGTATTATTTACAATTTAATAAATAGTGTGTCTTGTTATTTATTAATGTGTTCTTTTCCCTTAAATACATAGTACATAAAGAGCACTTTCGGCTGGCAAGTTAACACGAGGCCAATGAGGAGAAATTCAATTGAAGAAAATGACCAAATGGATGTTAAGTTTGGGAGAAAGAACCAACCCTTAATGGTCATTACAAATTCCGAAATATTATCTCCGTTCTTGATATAAAAACTAAGTGATTAATTTGAATAGATTAAGAAAATCAATTAAGTTAGTTAATTGTAATAAATAGATACTCCTCCGGTCCTTATTATAAGACCCCATTTGACTTTTTATTTGGTCCTAATTATAAGACCCCAATCCATTTTGTTTCTTATATTTATACATTTTTTTCCAAGATAATCCTTCTAATAATGATAGTTTTAGCCAATATACTTAATTAGCAAAGATATTTTAGGAATGACAACACTTATTTATTATAAATAACCAATTTAACTTACTTCCTTAATCTCCTCAAATAAGTCAATTGGGTCTTATAATTAGGACCGGAGGAGTATTATTTTTCTTAAAATACCTTTACTATCAAATGTTATTTAATAAAACATTTAACATGTGCAACCACTACAAAGACTGTCTTAGAAAAATGGACAAATATGTGATACAAAGTATATTATGGTCTTATATTTAAGACCAAATTGAAAGTCAAACGAATTTTTATATTAAGAAATCAAGGTAGCATACAATAAGTTTCAAAAGATTTTTTTATAAGAATTTGCATTGATGATTCTTAAAGTTTGATTATACATCTATAAAGTCTATTTAGAATAGTTTATAAGTAGTTTTTTAATCATGATTTATAAAATACAAGGTAAGTATATGAAAGAAATTTCATATTAACTTATATAAAACATGCTTATAAATACTTATGACCTCCGATCCAAACAGCACATAATCACCCTCGAGGGCCTTCAAGTGTCAAAGGAATTTAAAACGTTCCCTTTACAAATGACACTCGTTTATAAATTAAAAGTTACTCCTCTAATCCTTTATATAAGACTCATTTAACTAATTTGATTAGATTAAAAAAGTCAGGTAAGTTAGTTAATTATAAGAAATGTAACACGTTTTTCCTAAAATACCATAATCATCTTTCTTAATACCTTCTCTTCTTCTTCTACTTAATTATGGTTGAGGGGGTATCCATAGGGATAATTTAGAAAAAATTGATAAATATGATAAATAGGTCTTATATTTAGGATCAAAACCAACTTAACAATTAGGTTATCTATTAAGGACCAGAGGAGTATCAATTTCCAACTACTTTCATTTTTTGTTTTGTTTAAAATATCCGTATATTTATATGCAATATCAAATTTGTAGTAAGCCAATTTTTTTGTGTGCGCCAAAAGTAAGCCAATTTATTTATAAATGATTAATTTAGTTTAGCGCCGACTCTGTGCAAAAGACCGTTAATTAAGGTACAAAGGGTTGAAAGTTTTTAATGTGAAACCGAAGCGATAAGTCAACGTGGGGAAGAGCACATGTTCTGGACTAATTTCTAATTGGTAGTTAGGATTATAATTTTTTTTCCTCCACTTCTAGGAAGCCGCTGTGAAGATCAACCAAGAAGTAAATTTAATCGCGGCACTTTTCTGTCGTTTATTTAATTTTTTTAAAAAATCGGTTAAGTTAAATATGAAATATCGTTGAGAGAATCTCGGCTAAGTCATATTTAAATTAACTAAAATCATTTTATGTTTAGCTTAAGTTTTTTTCTCAATAACGTCTTATTTTTGGTTTAACTATTATTTTTTAATCTTAATGAAAGCCATTGGAGATTAAATTCATCAAAGAATAAAATCTGTAAAATAGATTTAAAGTGAGCAACATAGAGAACACGATCTGATGATGTTTTCTGGGAGTAAGTTTAAATAGTCTGTCTTCTCTAAATGGTTTATGTTTTCAATATTTTTTTTTGATAGCTTTTTTTTTTTTTAATTTTGAAAGGTATGAAATACAAGATCGAGATAATATTATAAGTTTTACGAAATATATCTTATGAAAATTGAAAACTTATCTTATTATATAATTCTTTCTTCCTAAATTCAAAGATAAAAAATCATATAATTACGTTATACGATTATCCTTTTTTTTTTAACTACCTACGATTCTTAATATAAGATTTTATTTGACTTTTATTTTGATCCTAAATATAAGACTCCAATCCACTTTGTCTCTCATATTTATGTATTTTTTCTCAAAATAGCTCTTCTAATAATAATAGTTCTAGCCAATATACTTGATTAGTAAGGATATTTTAAAAAAGACAACATATATTTACTACAAATAACTAACTTAATTTCTTTTTTTAATATCTTCAAATTAATCAACTAGTTCTTATAAATAGGACCGGGATGCAGTATTATTTAGTTTGATGACACCATAGGCGTTGCAAAAGAATGGTGAGTGATTTGACACAATTGACCCTGCAACTGCGGGGGAGGATGACAGATAAGGACGACTAGAATATGGAAATGACACTAAAGAATCACACATTTGTGTACGACAGCAGAGAGGTTGAGCGGATGAAAAATTGAAAATGTCCTCGGGTAGTCTCAATTGTAAATCCAAACAAATTAATTACAAATATCGAAAGATTAATTACAAATAAGAATTTCGGAAATTTTATAAATTCTAGAAGTCCACTTGAAAATCTTAAAAAATTGATTACAGATAAAATCACATTAGAAAAATGATAAAGCCTGTAAGTTGATGTCATAAATTTTATCCTAAAAAAAGTGAATTGAGTATTTGAATTCATGACCTCATCTTTTAAAAAGTTTTAAGAGAAGTGGTTGTTGTTGGTTGGACTATAACATCCTTCTTTTAATAAGTACTCTATCCGTTTTTTTTTTATAAGAAACAATTACCACGTCAACCTTATTTTTGTTTAAAAGAAATATTTGCAAGACGTTTTTAATTTTTTGACTAATTTTCTATTTTTTCTATAAATTATTTATTTTAATACTCAATATATTATTATTATCTCATTTTTCAAACCATCATCTCTAACTACTCCTCCGGTCCTTATTATAAGATCCCATTTGACTTTTTATTTGGTCCTAATTATAAGACCCCAATCCATTTTGTCTCTTATATTTATGCATTTTTTTTCTAAGATAATCCTTCTAATAATGATAGTTTTAGCCAATATACTTAATTAGCAAGGATATTTTAGAAATGACAATACTTATTTATTATAAATAACCAACTTAACTTACTTCCTTAATCTCCTCAAATAAGTCAATTGGGTCTTATAATTAGGACCGGAGAAGTATTACACATTCTTATACTCTCTGTGTCTCCCTCATAAATTAAAATATTTTAAAAAACTTACAATTTTTATATATTTATTATTTTAACTAATTTTTTTAATATTTTTTTTGGTACAAACTAATTTTTTTATATTCTCATGAAAAAGAGGACATAATTTTTACTACGATAGGTCCGTGAATATATGGGTTGCTGATGCCAAAATCAATGGAGTGCCTCTGCTGCCCCACTGGAAAAGAGCCTCTTCTCCCACGCTTCTTCCCTTTCCGTGCACTTCTCTCCTCTTTCTTTTCTAACCTTTACTTTTAGATCAATATTTCAAACGGTTCAGATTTTATTTTTTTAAAATTATAATTAAGATAAATTATTAAAATAAATAAATAATAAAATACAAACTACAAAAATTAAATAATTTACAAATGCACTGGATACTTTTTAAAAAAATTAAGCCTCTTTCCCTGCACGACTTAAAGGAGGTTCAGAAAGCTTAAGAATTTCAAAGAGAGTACAAGCAGAATTAAAAAAAAAACAATTAAATTTCAAAATTTTAAACTTGTCTTGTTTACTACATTTTAGGAGTGTTTGGCAATCACAAAAAATATTTTTATATACAGTGAGATAAAATTCTCTTCATATACGTATCTCGTAAAATCACTTTTAAAATTATAGTTTAGTTTTTTTTTCCCCACATACTCCTGATACGACATATTTTTATAATCATTTTTTTAAAATTTTAAAATTTTAAAAGTATTTTTCTGGGAACCATACTTTGTTGTGTCAACATTCAAGCCTAGTCTCCATGATCTGTCATCTATTCGTTCCCAGAAATCATCGCCTTTCCAACCATGTCCTTTGACTGATCTCATCATCAAGTTCTTATCAATGCCCACTTCAAAGCTCAATCATATTTCAGCAGAACAGAGACCTCTCGGGAAAGACTCTTGCTTGAGTTTACAAAAATATAAATCAAATCGATCATAAACAAACAGATAAATGTCCCTATGTTGGATTTGAGTCATTGGATCTAATAGAATAGAATGGGCTAATCTTAAGAACGAAGTTTGAATCCCCACCAAAAAGTAACCCTAATAGTGACTCAGGCTCCTTAACAGGACACCTTTGAGTAGCAAAAAGGGGGAAAAAACATGCGACCGCTAGCTCCTGCGCGCACAGATACAAGTAACTCTATCCATTTATGTACCTGAGAATTTCTTGGACATTTTGTTTTGTGTCAAAATCAACTCGCCAATTCAACCTCCATCTGGCCGACCATTGAGTTGAGCTGCCTCTACTTTTTCCAATGTCTCAACAACTTCCCTCATCGATGGCCTGAATTTATATTCCGTTTGGACACATTTAAAAGCAAGCTGAGCGACTTGCAATGCTAACCTGGGTGGATATCTCCCCTCCAATTTACTGTCCATTGTGTTTATCATGTTCCCTTTTCTCAACAGATTTGATTTGAGCCAGCCGATCAATGATTGGCCGTGACCCAGATGCTTACGCAGTATATCATTTATTGCTTTGCCCGTCAGTATCTCCACCAAAACAATTCCAAACCCATACACATCACTTTTCACAGTCAGGTGACCTGGTACATTCCCAAGAGAGATTTAGTAGTTTCATAAATAATAAAACTATTTCACAACACTCTTTTGTTCAGCTAAATGATCATTTGATGGGAATGGTAATGAAGTTGAGGATGGAAAGCCGGGTAACTTGCCTGTGGCAACGTACTCAGGTGCAGCATAACCGTGAGATCCCATAACCCTTGTTGTCACATGGGATCTATCATCAGAAGGAATCGCTTTGGCCAAACCAAAGTCTGATAACTTGGCAGTGTAGTTCTGTGATAAAGCAATGGGTTAGACTGAACTCAGCATCATTTAAAAGGATTTCGGAACACTCAGGCAGAGAAATACCATTGAGGTGCCTAATTACCTTGTCAAGTAGGATATTGGATGGCTTAAAATCTCTGTATATGATTCTATTCACTCGTGAGTGTAAGAAGTCTAGGCCCCTAGCTGCTCCAATTATAATCTTTAGCCTTGTGTCCCATGAAAGTGGCTGTACATTTGAACCTCCTGCACAATTATAATCAACAACAGTGTATGAGAAAGTCTGGGGAACTTTCCTCACAAAGTAGTCTAGTCAGCAATGATGAGTTCTTACTTCCGAATAGGTGGTTACCCAAGTTGCCTTTGTGCATGAATTCATACACCAGAAATAACTCTCCATTTTCCCTTCCAAATCCAAACAACTTGACAAGGTTAGGATGAGAAAGCCTTCCTAAGAAATTCACCTCTGACTGCAAAAAAATCAGCGTCATATACATTAGACACGCAGCAATTGAAGGATGATATTTTTTTTTTTTTTTGCAGAGTATTAATGTCAGAACCTGCCATTCCATAGGTCCTTGTGTGCTATGAGAGTTCAATCTCTTGATGCCGACAGCCAATCGCCCGTCTCTTGTAGCTCCTGATGATGTTCCCCCGTTAAGCTCTCCCTTGTACACTGTGCCAAAACCTCCCTCTCCTAGTACAGACGCAGGTCTGAAATTTCTAGTTGCTGCCTTCAGTTCCTCAAAAGTGAAATTTATCAAGTTTGCCACATCCAAGATCTGCCCATTAGGAAACTCCTCTTCATCTCTTACGTTAACTGTTTGGCTAATATCACAGCCTAGAAGAGATGTATTAGTATTGCTGGTTGTGTATGTGTTGCTGCTACTTGGTCCAAATAGCCTGCTATTTCCGGCAGATGTGCTGCTTCGTCCTAGCAAAGTGGAATTGCTTGTACTCTGCAAGAGTCTCGAGGTACCGTGTCTAATGGGTAATTGGCTGCTCCCTGTGACATTACCATAGCCATACTTTGTTAGTTAACTAAGGAATGATGCTTGGGTAACAGTGCGACAAGCTTTTGCAGTTCACTTGTAACTAGAAGCTTCAATTGACAAGAAATACAAATGAGCTAATAGTAATCTCTCTGGGTTTTTATCAGAACACTGTGAAATTGCAGAATTTGAAAGATATTGCATATGGGAGTGTTCGTTCTTTTCGAGTTGGAAATAAATATTCTATGCAGGACTAGCTTGAAAAGAACTAAACATTGGGGTAAGTTAAAGGTGAAAGCAGCGTAGGAATTTGCAGAGACTGGGATTCCAATCAGTAACTAGTTTGCTGCTTTTTCCGTTTCTTTTCACTGATTTATAGTTGCTTTCAGCAACTCGATCTCATATATTTCGTTCCGTAAATAATTATGGCAAAACCTTGCTGACTGAGAAATTGAAAGAAAAATGAAGAACTACTGTGCAGCAAAGGATGAAGAGCCGTCAGGAGAGGAAAAAAAACTAGTTTTTTGGCATACCCAAATGATCGTTGTTGGAGCCATTGTTGGAGTTGCGATGAGAATTTGGAGAATCAGATTGACGGGCCAGACAGTTTCCCATATTGATCTTTCTACTTGCTCTTCCTGATCCTCTCTGCTGAAACAAATGGATACATAAGGTCGCTTTAATTAGCTGGTTTTTCCAGGGAGAAAAGGCTTAGGAATGCAAGAGATGGGTGAGATAATGCCTTGTGACTTGAATAAAAATCGCCAACAAAAAAAATTTAGCTTTGTTCTTTTTTTTTTTTTGAAAGATTGAAGATGGCTCAGCAAAATTGGTTGATTGTGATAAGAAGAATGGTGTGCAATAATGTGGCGTAGAGGACGGAAGCTTCCCAGAACTGGGCACGAATATGTAATGAAATCAGGTTGTAGGGCCCCCTTTGGAAATCTTATGCATCAAGGTTCCTTGTACAGCTTGTGCACTACTGCCACGTCGTATGGAGCTCAAGAAAATGGAAAATTTTCAATTAAGGACCGCAGATGGAAATTAATTTCAAACAGGCCCTAAAAAATCCTGAAATGTCACTGCATAACCAAAAAATAAACTGAAATTAAAATTAGAAGTAAGATTACAATAATACTCCTCATTTTTATTTTTTTAAAAAAATAAATATTAATAATCGTCGGAGTTTCGACCACCGGTGCTCAGGTAGCCGCCGTCGGAGGTTGGAGTTTCGGTGGCTGCTACTGTAGCTCCAGTGGCCTAAAGTTTTTTTTAAAAAATAAGGTGGCCAAAGGAAAGTTTGAACCCATGACCTCTTGGCATACTAAAAATAATATGACCACCAAACCAAATAAACCATTTAATCATGTGATACAAATAAAAATATATATAACAAAATAAACGCAAGTGTCCAAGTGTAAATAAACAAGTAAAATTCGATAATTTACAAGTGAAATTTAGCAATTTACAGCAAAAATTTGGCAATTTACAAATAATATAATGGAATTCACAATTTCAAATGCAAGTGTTTAACTGTAGATGAGTAAGTGATATTCGACAATTTATAACAAAAGTTTATGAATTTACCACCTAAATTTGGCTATTCACAAGAAACATAAGAGAATTACAACCTAAAATGTAAGTGTTTGAGTATAAATAAATAAGTAAAATTTAGCTATTTATAACCTAAATTCAATGATTCATAAGAAACATAAACATTTCAAAACCAATAAGAGAATTCACAACTTCAAATAGAAGTAGTCATGTTTCTTATGAATCATTGAATATGGGTTGTAAATATTTTAATTGTTGTTGTAAATAACTAAATTTTACTTGTTCATTCATACTTGCATTTGGGGTTATAAATTCCATTATGTTATTTGTAAATTGTCAAATTTTTGTTGTAAATTGTTGAATTTCACTTGTAAATTGTCGAATTTCATTTATTTATTTATACTTGGATATTTATGTTTGCTTTGTTATATATATTTTTATTTACATCATATAAATTAAATAATTTGCTTGGCTTAGTTAGTACTGGGAAAACGGGCCGGCCTGGCCCTCCAGGGCCGACCCGTCACGGGCTCGGGCGACGGGTCGGGCTTAAACCGGCCTGTCCGTTTAAGTCCGAGTTCAAAAAATGAAACATTTTCCCAAGCCCGGCCCGTGAGATAACGGGCTCGAGCTGGCCCGCGGGCTTTTGACCCGTTTAATTAAAATGTATTTTTATTATTTTTCTTTGTCTATTTTATCGAAATAATAAAATGAAACAACAAAATTACTAATAAAAGATATAAATAAAAATAAAAATAAGTCACAAACATAAATATCATTATGTTAAAACATCTATCACAGTGTAATAAAGTCTATTGAATGAACAAACTAAATAGAGGACAGACATAAACAACTAAATAAACACTAAGTTCAGTAAATAATTACAATATGGATGATCTTGTTTAATTATAAATAATTAACAAAAAAGTTTAACTAACAAACATAGTATATATAAAAAATAATTGTTTGTCCTACTGACAAAAAAGAAAAGAGTTCATCATCCATAGTTCTAAATTTATTTCTAACTATAAAAATGATATAGATTTTTATTTTAATTCAAAAGATTCTTTAACCAATTCTATTTCAAGTATAAAAAATATGAAAGAATGATAAATAAAGATTGTAAAATAACACATACAGTATTTTAATAGGTTTTGACAACTTATAAATAATAACACATTTTTGTTAATATACTTAGAATTATGGTGATTTCTTTTTTTGTGAATGCCATTTGTGTAAGCAGTGGGAGTAAGTAAAACTAAGAGTATATTATGTGTAAAATGTTAGGGTTTTCCTTTTTAAGTTAAGAAAAAAATATAAAAATTAAAAAAAAATTATTGGCGGGCTTAAACGGGCCGGCCCGCGGCCCTACAGGGCTGACCCGTTTATTTTTCGGCCCTACAGGGCTGGCCCTTTTAAACCCGACTTCCCTTTCAAGACTCCAAAATACAAGCCCGGCCCGTGACTTAAACGGGCTTAAACGGGCCGGCCCGACGGGCTCGACCCGTTTTCCCGGCTCTAGGCTTAGTGTTCATATCATTTTTAATATGTTAAGGGGTCATGAGTTCAAACTTCTGGTCACCGTACTTATAAGTATGCGTTGGCCTTTTCCACTTTTTTGTTTCTCTGACACTTCTTTTAAACAAAAAAGTCGTCGGCCATCTAGATGGCACCTATTGATTAACCCATGAACGATGGGACCACTAATTAACTCGTGCGTTTCGAGATGGCCCACCATTTAATTGCCATGTTAACAAAACTCCTACCTTTCTTTTCTTTTTCTGTTTGGTTTTTGTTTTTCCCCCGTCACTAACACTTGTTTATCCTGACAATCACATTTGCTATTAGCACTAGAAAAACGGGTCGGTTCGACCTTACTAGGCTAGCTGTCATGAGCTCAGGCCTTTAACACGTCGGCCCCTCTAGACCTAAATTCAAAAAATGAATAATTTTTTAAGTCCAGCTTGCAGGTTTTTGGTCGGTTTAACTAAAACACAATTTTTTATTTGTTACATATTTTATCAAAATAATAAAAATAAAAAAATAAAATTACTAATAAAAGGCATAAATATAAATAAAATTAAATCACAAATATAAACATTATCATATCTAAACATCTATCACACTACAAACTAAATGGAAGACAGACATAAACAACTAAATAACTACTTAGTTCAGTAAATAATTACAATATAGATGATGTGGTTTAATTATAAATAATTAATAAAAATGTTTAACTAACGAATATAGTATACACAAAGAATAATAATTCATTTTGCTGGCAAAAAAGAAAAGAGACCATCGTTCCTAGTTCTAAATTTGTTTCTAACTATAAAAATAGTATAAATCTTTATTTTAATTCAAAAGATTCTTTAATTAATTCTATTTCAAGCATAAAAAATGTAGGAGAATGACAAATAAAACTGTAAAAATTACACATACAATATTTTGACTTATAAATAATAATACATTTTTGTGAATATACCTAGTTTTAAATTTTGTAATTGTCATCTTTTTTTGTTTTTTTGTTTCAACAACTATAGTGAATGCTGTCTATGTAAGCTGCTAAAGTGAGTGAAACTAAGAGCATGTTATGTGTAAAATGTTAGAGTTTTCTTTTATAAGTTAAGAAAAAATATAGAAATTTAAAAAAATGTTGGCAGGCTTAAACAGGCCAACCTGTTTATTTTTCGACCCTTCAGGGCTAACCCTTTTAAGCCCGACTTCCTTTTTAAGGCTTCAAAATACAAGCCAGGCTCTCGACTTAAACGGGTTTAAACAGGCTGGGCTAACAGGCTCAGCCCATTTTTCCAATTCTTTTTTTTTTTTTTTGCTAAAGCATATGTATCCTCCTATTGAAGACAATCTTATTCAAGACACTATTGGGTACTAAATGTGGGCACTTCTCCTAGTAGGGATTCAAACCTTGATTCGTCACATTATGAGATACTAGCTTTTTCTGTTAGACTCAACTCTTGTTTTTTTTTTCGGTAAAGAAATTTTTGGAAAGAGGTTGGGCTCACCCACGATCCAAGGGCATGGTAAAATCTCCCTTCCTCCTAGGTCATACCAATGTTGGGCAGGGCGAGCCGTCAATTATCCTCAGGCGTTTACCTAGACACCCAGGAGCTAGGATGCCTCCCCAAACGCCGCAGCTGGAACCACAACAAAGTGGTACTCCACAACAAAGACGTTAGACTCAACTCTTGTTGTTAGCTCTATTTGCTATCATATTTGGATAGCATGAGACTTGCGTCACCCAAATGGATTTTTCTTTTTAACTAAAGGGACAAATACTAAAACCTTCCGAGGCTCCCCCCCCAGCCCGAGGCTCTCATATTATTGGGCTGTAAGATTATGACTTGATTTTATTACCCATCACAATAATAAAGATCATAATATTATGATGGAATTTGTATCGATGAAATATAATTTTAATAGTTTAAATATAAAATTTTAAAAGAAAGACAAAAAAATGATAGTTAAATTTAAAAATTTTAAAATAGTTATCCGAATAATGAAAATTCCTTTTTAATCTCATATGACTAAATAAGGATTTTAAAATTTACTAAAATGATCATATTATCATTTTTTTAATTTTCTGAAAATTCTGTTGTTAATAACAATACCAAACTTATTAATAATATTAATAAACTTGTTAACCGTATTATTAAAGTTGTAAAATTTTTCATTTATGATCTCATGACTAATCTCTTAAAGTGTCAAAAGTTTCTAATATCATATTATGAATGATATTACGCAAGTTGTTAATATCATTGTAAGACTTGTTAACAGTATTATTGAAGTTGTAAAAGTGACTTTTTTTTTAATTTTCTAAAAAACCTATTATTAATAATGATACTAAACTTATTGATAGTATTAATGAACTTGTTAACTGTATTACTCATGGCAATTTGATCATTTTAGTAAATTTAAAAATTGCTATTTGGTCATAAGTGATTCAAAAGAATTTGACTTATTCAAGTGAATATTCAGAAATTTTGAAATTTAACAATCATTTTTCTATCATTTTTTTAAAAATTTTCAACTAAAAATTCTAAGTAAAAAAATTAGTTTTTTGAACAAATGAAAGTTAAAAATTATTTTTCAGATTATATATGCATTAAAATAATTTTTTAAAAGAATAAAATTAAAAATAAAATTGAATCTCGACCATCTAATCCAATCCAAATTATATCTAAACGCAGTTCAATCCGTTAGT